ACACTATATTTATAATTAATCTACAATTTCTTTACCTTTATATAAACCGACCGTTCATCACAATTTTAATGCAAAAAATAATATTGTAAGCTCTTGTCCGAGAACAAATATTACCTGGTTTCCTGTATCCGTACTAACCTTTTAAAACGTTGCGGCCACATTCTTCTGCAACATCTTAGTCACGGCATTATAGTTGTGTAAGCAACCCTTATACAACAGTAGCTTCATCTTGCACCGGCAAGCAATAAGCCGGCTTTATATATAAATATAAATTTTCAACACTCGTTCCCTCTCAACAACGGACAAAGACAGACTGAACCATTCGTGGGAGGAGAGCAGAGCTTCCATGATTTAACGTATTTTGATTGGTCAGTTAAAGTGACGTCACTTAAGTTTTCATTGGTCAACTTTTGTCGTACAGCACAAACCACCGATTTGATAGTAATTGTCAACTACACAAGGTATACCATACTTTACATGCAATAAGATAATAACACAATATCCTTTGCGATTTCTTGTTACACGCGATATATTCTTACAATTATGTACATATATGGATATATAGACATGGATAATATAGACATACATATATACATACATATACGCATACATATACATATATGCACACAAACATGCATGATGTGTTTCGAAATACATCACGACCGTGAGGATTAATACTCTAATGCTTTAGGTAGGCCTATAGCAAATAACGTTACATCATATCGTTAACATCAAAAATTAAGCGTGGGTAGCTGCTGAATCAGCGTCCTTGTAATAATCGTGTTTGAAAATATATATACAAAATATTTAATCATATACTTATACACGCACACGTTATTCCAATATTATTTAAAAAAATCGTTCTATGCGAAGTGACAATGAGTATTATATTTTGTATCAGCCGTGTTTTTTTTTTTGCGGTACGACTTTACTAAATCCATTCCGGTTAAATGTATCAAAACATGTCTTGCTATTGTATGTACACACTGTGACATTAACGCTTAAAGTGATGGTCGATTAAAGTTAGTAAATGGTAAATGCAACGTTTACAAATATTTTACTACTACATTGAGGTTCAGACTTTAATGTGGTGGGGGATAGAGGTGTGCAGCGGCCCGGAGGAATGCACATAAATGCCCTTTTGGTTTATACCGAGCACGAAACGCACAGCGAGCAAAATACTGATCGTAATATTGCTGCAGTTTCCCCGGTCGTTGTTCCCAACTCTTGATTGAGCTCCAAAGACGTTCTATGTTTTGCGTATGTACGCTTTTGTTGTGTGAGGATACGAATTCAATAGAATGGTTTACAGTTTGATGATTGTATCCTATTTTCTTTAATAGGTTGTATCCTCCCCACTAGTCTGCATATATAGTGGCACCAGGAGATATGTGTTCTTTAATAATATTCGTGTGTTTTGTTTGTTTTTTACTTTGGTAAAGAACACTTTTTTCGTGCCACGCTCATAGGCCCCAATAAACCCAGAAACCTTTGAACGCCTTTCGGCCTCGGTTGAACTCCCCCCCCCCCCCCACCACCAAAGGAACTTCCGTCGCACTCGACGACCCTTCCTCTTCCCGAGAAGTCCCCCGAAGTTTTATAACATTCGCACACACTTCACTTGAAAAAGAGCGCCAGTCAACTATTGTGTGGGGGCTCCAGCCTAGGTTTTCCGCTATATTCTTTTGTGAAAAAAGGTCTTAAATGTTCAGGAAACGATTTTCACTAGGTTTGATCTTGGCCTTTTCCAACCAAGTGTCCTTGAACAATGAAATATTTACATTTCTTCACTCTTGTTTTTGGGTTCCTTTTCTGCCGGTAGCACTGAAACGTATATCGTGCCTTATCGTTGGCGCACTCTCTTCCACAGTTTTACAAATAATTGTTTTCGGCAGAACGCCGTGATTTTTTAAAACTATTGCAGTGTCGTCCTGCTTATAAAATTGTTTTTTCAAATGTGTAATCACACCCAGCGCACACCGCCATAGTGTCACTTGCAATGCTTAAAGGGCCGCAAATTGCTACCATTATAATTCCGTAACAGTACAGTGACGAGTGCACAAGTGAAATGTATGTACAACTGCTATGCCTGATGTCTATATCTTTTACTTTATTTAAAAACAGATGGCATCAGAAGCGGTTTGGAATATAGATTTCAGAAAATAATTACAATTATTAAAATCTCAGCAGCCAAATATATTTCCTTTATTATATATAATACTTGTAAACGCTTAATGATGACTATAATAATTATGTTATTTATTTTTTTATTTATACCACTATTACTAATATTAATGACATCTTCGAAACCAGACCTAGATCACATAATCATTTTCTTTATCGGGATCTCTATATTAATGAATATCTGACAGATCGCCTTGTATTTCACAGTACACTATAAATGTTACTTTTCATGCAATGACACACTTTCGGTATGCATTTTGTGGGGTACAGGAGCGCTATTACGTATAATCTATATATGTGTGAATATATATACACATATATGTATGTATATATGTATATATATATTCATTTACATTTATATTTATATCTATGATGAAAAATAGCATCCGCGAAAATGTGGCTTTACTTCACGACGCGACATTTAGGCGTAACATTTTACTGTGGTCAAGCGGAGAAGCCAATACGAATAATTCCCATCACTATGTTCCTTATTTATGTATTTTATGTATGTATATATATATATATATATATATATATATATATATATATCTACATATATATAATATATATATATCTATATGTATATATTATATATATATATATATATATATATATATATATATATATAGAGAGAGAGAGAGAGAGAGAGAGAGAGAGAGAGAGAGAGAGATTTTCTCACTTTCACAAGAAGCACAGGCAAAAATTGCAAAATCCACAATTTCAAGTTGTAGATGTTTTATTTGTCTACAAAATGAGCCATAATATGTAAATTTTGAATGTGCGTTGTGCCCAGAATGCTTTTACCCCCCCCCCCCAGGGAGGTGTACCGTTTTTCATTTCTTCATCTTTCCATGACTATCTTGGTATCATCAAAACACGGTATAAGATTAGTCTTCCTACACCATAATCCTCTATCATCTACCTGCATTCCGAAGTCTTTCGAACATTGCCAGTTTCTCAAAATCTTACATAGAGTGTAGAGTGGTGGCAGTGATCTGGGGGGGTCTATAGGGCTAGCCTACACTGACCATTTAAATTTTTTTCTTAAAAATCCCCCCCCAAAAAAAAAAAAAAAAAAAAAACAATATTTTCCGAAGGTGACTGTTAAGACCCTCATAGATTTTGAAAATATGTCATTTTTATAAGCAGCACATCAAAATATTCCAAATCCTTATTGCAGCATGTAACATATCTAATATTCAGTTACAAAATGAGCCATAATGCTTTAAAATCTGACTGAAAATACGTGTGCTATGCGTAAGAACGTGAAGGACCCAAACATCGCGATCTTTTACCTTTTCAAATTATGTTTACCTTTTGCATGACAAAGCATGTACGAAATACTTGTATATGATATAATTATTATTTACCTATCATTGTTGCTCTAATGGGCTTTTACAATGTATAATATAGGTCGAAAAAATAACCGTTCTACAGTTGGACGTGTATCATATTCTCAGCGCGGCATGGCGTTGTGGACCATGAAATATGTCTCTTTACATTTGCGGAATATTGGTGTTTAACTCTACGGGGTTACGCTCAGACCCCGCAGAAAGACGAGAAACAGTTACATGGCGATATAAAAGTGTGTATATAAGCACACATAGATCATTTTCACGTACCCCATGACCTTTTGTTTATTTATAGTTACTTCTGTTTGTTTATTTATATTGTTACTTCTATTTGTTCTTATTTATATTGTTACTTCTGTTTGTTTCTTTGTTTGTTGTTTGTTTGTTTTCTGATATTTCTAAACGTTATGAATACATTTTCATGAGATTTTAACAAAGGTGTGTTTTAACCTATTTTAGACACTTATTACACTTTGGGGTGATGTGGACCATGGTTTGGAGGCAGGATTTTTTTTTCTAACTCGAAAACTTATGAACAGATTTTAATAATTTTAACCTGAGGTTTGTCTTAGGCTAATTAATGTTCCCTAAAATTTTGGTGGTGATCTGGATCATTTGGCAATCCTACCCCCATTTGGGGTGGGGGGGGTGTATTTTCGAAATGTTTTGCTCATAGATCAAGCTATGTATGATGAAAACATAAAGAAAATAAAATACTACATATGAACGGCATATCATGTTTATTTATTTGTATGAAAAATTTCTTCCTTATTGTTGTTTGGACGCTTGCCAGATCTTTAAAATTACTCCGAAAAAATGAAGGTTGGTCTCATCTTACGTGAAATTTAAAAAGCTTTCAGAAAAAATCCAATTTTTAAAAATTATCTCTAATCATTGCGTCTCAATTGCCGATTTTCTAATGTAACATGAAAAAAAAAAAAAAATTCAGTCGACATCGAAAATGGCTGCTACCACCTAAAAAATAACGGTCGGGCCTTGAAATGTCAGGGGAGAACCGGGGGCCTAGGAACTCCTTGCAAATGCATTAAACGCAATTTCGGCAAGATGGGGGAAAATCGCCCATTGAGGGATACGTATGACATACATATATGTGTACACATGTATACATCACATATACATACATGCCATATATCTTATTACTATTATTATTAGTCATAAGACAAATTCAGTAGAAAATGTTTCTGAGATTACATTTCTATTTTATTCGCCAATAATTGCCATGGACACGAAAAAGCCATGCGTCGATTGGATTCTGACGCGAAACAAAGCTTCCTTTTCCGAAAACGAAACCTGCTCCCAGTTGGCCTCCGCAACTAACACCCCATCTTTCTTCCACCTACCTTCCACTATTTGCTCTACTAATTCGCTACCACCTAAAAAAATTTTATATGTATATATTTATATATATATATTTTTTCATTCTGTATGTTCCTCAGCGTTACCATGGATACCTGTGGAGGAGAAACGAAGGAGAAAGTGAAGGATACAGCGCGAACCCCCGCCGGCCCAAGACAGGTGCGTAAAAGAGAGAAAACGGAGGAAGCTTATAATGAAATATGCAAATAATTATGATTATGAGGATAATCATAATGGTGCTGTTATCACTACTGTTAATCATGGTAATAATGATGACAGCAGCAGCAGTAGTAAGATATTATCTTACTATACTTATGTTATCATTATTGATATAAGAATTATTATTATTATTACTATTATTATTATTATTGTTATTATTGTTATCATCAGTATTATTACTATAATAATAATAAAAATAATAATAATAATATTATTATTATTATAATTATAATAATATTAAAAATGAGTTTTATTATCATTATTATTTTTATCATTATTATTATTATTACTATCATTGACATTACCATTTTCATTTTCATTATTATTAATACTATTATTATTATCATCATTATTATTGTCTTTTTGTTTTTTGTCATTATCATTATTATTAATATCATTATAACTATTATTATTATTATCATCATTATGACTTAGTATTATTATTATCATTATTATCATTTTTATCATTATAATCATCATTATTGGTATTGTTGTTATTATCATCATTATCATTACCATCAATGTAATTGTTATCATCTTTATTATTTTCATAGTAAATGTTATTATTGTTATTATTATAATTTTTATTATTCTTTTATATCATTATCCTGATTATTATTAGTATCATTATCATCGTCTATTATTATTATTATTATCATTATTATTGTAATTATATTTATTAATATCATCATTATTATTATTCTATTATCATTATCATTATAATTATCATAATCATTATCATTATTACTATCATTATTATATGTTGTTATTATCATTATTGTTATCATAACCATCACTCTCGTTATTACTATCATTTTGTATTGTTGCTATTATCATCATTATCACTATTATCAATTATTAATATCGTAATTATTTACATTATCATTATCTTCATTTTCAAAATTATGATCATAATCTTTATTATTCTTTTAAATCATTATCCTCTTTATCGCTATCATCATTAATCATTATAATATATATATAATCATTATCATAATAATTAATGTTATCATTATCATTATTATTTTCATTATCATTATTTTCACCATTATCTTTTATATTCATGTTTTTTTTTCTCACTATCACTATTATGATCATCCTCATTATAATTATCACTTTTGTCATCCTCATTATAATTATCATTTTTGTCATCATTTTTAAGAATACTATCATTATCGTTATTCTTGTTATCATTATCATCATCATTAGGAGGTAAAGGCAGGGACTCGGCCTATCTCGAGCTCCTAACGGTCGGGGCGCAAAGCCGCTTCCACCTCGTTTCCATTGAGGGTCCCTCATGGCAAGCCGCCAGGCAGGGACTCGGCCTATCTCGAGCTCCTCACGACAGGTTTGACTGATCTGCCCAAGCCATGACTTCCTAGGTCGATCACAGCCAGATACCGTTAAAGTCACCCAGAACAATATATCTCGCCGGGGACAACTGTCTGACACTGATGCAAGTTTGACATAAAACATCTCTTTCACGTCGAGTTTACAAATATCAGTAGGAGCCTCTGTACACAGCAATAAGAGACATGAAGCCAAATGCTAGCTTCAGGGGACAGTCTGGTCTTGCTTCGCCATTTTTCGCCCATCTTGCCGAAATCGAGTTTAATGCATTTTCAAGGAGTTCAAGAGCCTCAGGTTCTCCCCTGAAAAATTCAAGGCCCGGCCGTTATTTTTAGGTGGTTGCAGCCATTTTCGATGTCAACCGAAATATCATGTTTTCATGTTACCTTAGAACATCAATAATTGTGACGAAATGATTAGAGATAATAAAAAAAAGAGATTATTTTCTGAAAGCTTATTAAATATCACGTAAGATGAGATCAACCTTCATTTTTTTAGGAATAATTAAAAAAATCTGGCGTCCATTAAACGATAATGCATCACCACCAAAGTGCAATAAGAGTCTAAGTTAGATTAAAACACACCATTGGTTAAAATCTCATTAAAAAGTGTTCATAACTTTTAGCAATATCAGAAAACAAACAAAAAACAACAAACAACCAACAAAGAAACAAACAGAACAATATAAATAAACAAAAGGTCATGGGGTACACGCAAATGATCTATATGTGCTTATATACCTTATAAACATACTCTTACATCGCCTTGTAATAGTATTTCGTCTTTTCACTGGAGTCTTAGTGTGAAAATTGGCCACGCGACTCCGTAGACTTAAACACCAATATTCCGCATATGTTAATTAAGAGACGTATTTCATGATCCACCACTCCCGGCCGCGCTGAGAAAAGGACGCATATGATACCCGTCCATCTGGTGAATGCTTACTTTTTCAACCAATATCATATGTAATACCCCATTAGAGCAACAATAATAGGTAAATAATAGATAATTATATACAAGTAATTCGTACATGATTCGTCTTGTAAAATGTATAAATAATGAAAAGGATAAAAATCGCGATTATTAGGTCCTTCACATTTTTACGCATAGCACACGTATTTTCAGTCCGATTTTAACGTATTATGGCTCATTTTGTAGCTGAATAATAGATTTATTACATGATGCAATAAGGATTTATAACATTTTCATGTGCTTATAAAACTGACATATATTTTCAGTATCCCTTTTTAGGGTGTCGAGATAGTGGGCTTTGGAAAATATCCCCCCACCCTTATAGTAGAAGGATAGTTCTATTCAGATATGAAATCTGAATGGCTGTATTTTTTTTTTTTTTTTTGGGGGGGGGGGGGATTTTTGAGAATTAAACAAAATGGTCAATGTAGGCCTATAGACCCCCAGATCACTGCCACCACTCTACACTATACGTCAGATTTTGAGAAACCTTTACGTGCTGGCAATGTCCGAAAGATTTCGGAATGTAGATCGATGATAGAGGGTTATGGTGTAGGAAGACTAATCTTATACCTTGTTTTGTTGATACCAAGATAGACATGGAAAAAGGAAGAAAACGAAAAATGCTGATATGTTGATACACCACCATTGTAGGCACAAAAGCTGTATCAGATACAATTTTAATCCAAAATAAAAGTTTTATGGCTCATTTTGTGGCTGAATAAAAAGTCTAGTGCTTGTTTGAGATGGATTTTGCAATTTTTGAATTACTGTCAAAACACTGAAAAACTGCGAAGCTCTCAGTTTGAAAATTGACAAAATGGCAAAAATTCTTTAAAATCCAGAAAAAAAATACACATGCATTTTGATATGAGTTTTGAACAGATTCATCCTAGATCTGTTGCTTGTTTGAAGCAGATTTTCGATTTAGACTTTTTTTCCTGTGTCTTTTTATTTTTAATACAGATTTGTCGTTTTTGCAAGAAATCTTAAAAAAAAAAAAAAAATAAAATAAAACAGGAAAAAAGTCTACATCGAAAAATCTGCTTCAAACAAGCAACAGATCTAGGATGAATCTGTTCAAAAACCATATCAAAATGCATGTGTATTTTTTTTCTGGATTTTAAAGAATTTTTGCCGTTTTGACAGTAATTCAAAAACTGTTTGTCCGATTAAAAAAAAAAAAAAAAAATCAATCACAGGGATCAGAGGGTCTAAATTAAAGGGTGTGAGTTTCATCAAAATCGGCAAGAAAAATCGAAAGTCGAAAAAAAGTCCCTTTCAGTGCCAATACCATTATACCCTCATCGAAATGAGGGTATGGAGACCATTGCTGCGGCCTGACCAGTAATAGGTATAGCCACCTACACTGATCATGCTGGTGCCAGGTCTTTGCACTGAGAGAGCAGCCACCTCCACTCTCAGCCTCCCCAGTTCCCTCGATAGAAAAGGCAACCTGACGCAAAGAGTGGATGTTCCAAGCCCTGACTTTTTACCAGAGGTTTACCCTCGGGCGGTCACTCTGGGTGGACGCCACCTCTGCCACCCCCGCCGACGCTACTCCACATAAAAGGGGGTGGCAGGCTGCGGGACCCAACATCCACCTGTGGGGTTCCCTAGGGCTATACCGGACCAGCAGTCGCCCTCCCAACGGGGCCTGCAGCCCGCCTAGAACGGGCATTTCCCTTCCCTCCAGCATTTCCAATTATATGAGACCTTGCCGAAGGGTTATCTCTGGGAGGACTGGCAAGGCCCACCTCCCCCGAGCCTCCCATTAACCCCAGGGGGCTTAGGGGCAGGAGTTAGGACAATCATTATGCTTATTGTTATTTTTATTCATATTGTTATCACTCTCATTATCATCATCCTCATTGCTATTTTTCTTATTGTTATCACTATCATTATTATTATTATCCTTATTGATTATTATCGCCATTATTATCATTATCATTTTTTTATCCTTATCATTATTATTATTAACATCATCGTTATTTTGATAGTAAAAATATCATCATGATAATACTGATAATAACATTGACAACAAATCTCGATGATAAGATTTCTTTTCTCGTCTTTTTAATTACTCATACTATTTTGTAGGTAAAGAACAACACAAATCTTCACCCTTGTTAATATCCTCTTCCATAGATCTTGTGTGTGTTGATAGTAGCTTGCTTGCCAACCCTCAATGGCATGATAAGTGGGTGGACGGCGGTGCTGCCCAAGCTGCAAGAAGACACGACCAGATTCACGGTTACCGTTCAGGATGTGACTTGGTTAGGTAGCTATTTAGAGTGAGACGACGTTCTCGCGGTCTTTATGCTTGTTACTATACAGTTATTAGTTAAGTGTGCCTCTCTCTGTTTCTCTCTATTTATCTATCCAGTTTCTCTCTCTTTCTGCAATGATGGAAAAAGTGAATTCTAAGTTTCATGCAATATTGTTTGATTAATAGGACTTGTTGGTGTCAGAGGTATGACCCATAGCTTGTGAATCAATTTGATCCACAGTTTTCAATAAAGACTATTTTCGGAATAATAGCTAATAAAAATAAATCTACCACAGCTTTTGTTTCATCTACATTAACCTTTTTCTTCCAATCATTTTCAGCGTCCTTAAACTTAGTAGTAAGCATTGGAGCCAGTCCTTTGGCCGGAACCCTGGGGGAACACGTGGGTCCTTGCCGTCTCCTGTTCCTGGCGATGTGCCCCGTGCCCGGTTTGTGGTTTATACAGGCATATACGCCGTGGGTCCCTCTGCTGTACGTGTGCCGAGCTGCACTGGCGGTCAGCACATCTGTCTTTTCCACAATAGTACAACCGCTGATCGCTGAGTTGTCCCCCGTCAAGATCAGGGGCTTGGCAGGGACCTTGCCTGCGGTAATGGCCTGTGCTGGGATGCTGCTCTCCTACGTCTTGGCTTACCTGTTGCCTTGGGACGTTGCCACGGCGGTGTCGGCCGCCCCCTTCATGCCGCTGGTCTTGCTCATGCTTCTCGTGCCTGAAGTAAGCGTCCGACTGAGGAAGGGAGTGAGAGAGTCTGTTTCCGTTGTTATATACTGTATATACTTTGAAATTACATGATCAACATTAGAATATGAATAGGTCACCATATAACTACCTTTTTCAACCATCAGGAACGTTGCCAGACCCTCGCAATATCAACCTTGCTTTATTTCCAAATCCGAGAAGTTGCCAGTATTAGTCTGCTGTATATATTCAGTATATGATGGATTCAAATATACTTGGTAGTATTCAATGATTCGGAATTGTTATGAAATGAGGGGGATACTGTCTGTGCCTGCATATTGTCTGGACTATAGGTTACCTATCAAACTTACACGTATTTTCTTCATACACATGTTAAATCAACGGAAAATCCATTGCCTAGTAGTAGATTATGACTAAGGAAAAACAAATATATACAGACATTTGCCTGCTGGTTGAGAACCACTGCTATGCACCCTGGACATTATCTGAGTTGCCTTATGCATGAATATTTCTATTTTTCCTCCCTGATTTCTTGAGAATTTAATTTGATTTTTAAAATCTTTATTCAGTCGCCATATTGGCTGGTGAGAAAGAAGAGGATCGACGCAGCCGAGAGGTCCTTGCGAGTCCTGCTGGGTCACACCGCTGACGTCACGAAGGAACTGGACGCCATCAGGAGCACCACGACCCTCAAGCAGGCCAATGTCATGAACCAGGTTAATACTGAGGTTTTCTTTATTCATTTATTTCATTTATCTCTTTTCTTTTCATCTTTTTACGGGCATCACATGATTCTGGTATTCTCTATTGTAATTTCTAACAGCTGCAAGAGCTTCGCCGAGGTCGTAACATCCGCCCCGTGGTGCTGATCACTGCTCTGTTCATCCTGAGGGAACTCGGTGGCAAAGCCCCTGTCTTTAGCTACACCGTCTACATGTTTCGCAGCGCAGAGGTAGAGCTGGACGCCTTCTACTGCACAGTGTTCGTCGGTTTGACCCGTTTTGGCGGTACATTAATGTCGGCTTTCATCTTGGATTGCCTTGGCCGAAAGCCGGTGCTAGTGACGTCGGCGGTGATATCGGCTCTGGCGCTGGCTGTCGCCGGAATTACGGTTTTCCTGGAGGTGGAAGGGGCGTCGTGGGTAACCTTGGTATCCATGCTGGCGTACGTGGGGGCGCACGCGATCGGTGTCGGTCCCATCCCGTGGGGTTACCTCGGCGAACTCCTTCCAACACCAGTGAGGTCCATGGCAGCATCCATAATCACCACCTTCCACTTCTCCTCCTCCTCCANAACGTCACGGGAGAAGCCAGCGAAGGGGAAAGGAGTTGGTGGAGCCCTTGCAAAGTCAGACCTATTAAGATGCATATTTTTGGGCATATTTACATGCACATACACATGCACGCACACGCACACGCACGCAGCGCACGCACGCACACACACACACACACGCACACACACACACACACACACACACACACACACACACACACACACACACACACACACACACACACACACACACACACACACACACACACACACACACAAAATTCATAATGGTATATTTGTTTGTTCAACAGCCATTCGTTGACATTAGTTATGAAGCATATTGGTATTACTGAATCTTACCCAGTACTTTTAATTGTTTCATTACAATTAAAATTATTGATTTATCCTTATTCTCATACGATGATGCCTAGGATTCCGGTCACGCTGCCACTTATTAGAAATCGATTTGACAGCAAACTCATTAAATATAGATTGATATTGGCTACGGAAAAAAAAAAAAAAAAAAAAAAAATCCAGGCTGTCTGATGCCACTTTACTGTGTTTTTATGACTGTAGCAATTGTGAAGCTGTTCATTGTTTCTGCTTTTTCTTATTTCTGTAATTTACTTGTTTCCCCATATGCTCTTTTTGTAAGTAATTGTAAATGCGTGTTCTACAGTAGGATTGTAGAGAACGATCATCACAGTCTGGGGTATTTACACTCTTGAATTACAAATAGTTGCCGTATCACACCTTTATTCACATCTGCCTCTTCTTCTTCGTGAAAGGAAGAAAACATCACTTCCAACTTCTGGATATATTAATTAAAGTGTTGCAAGGGATAAGTCAAATGACCTTTGCTAATTCCTGCAAGCCATGAAAGCTCAGAAGTTTGTCTGGCGAAATGTGGATGGCTGTTCTTCAGTTTAAATGTTAAATATGGAGCTGTAGTGTACGAAACTTTTCTTTAACTATTACCATACTATTACCACGCCTTACTGTGCAGAAATGTACATAGTAGCACTCACTGCCGCCACCCATTTCGTACGTACAGGGGTGTTAGTTGGGAGAAGGCAATGTGTGAAAAACTTGTGCAAAGGAGGGAGAGATTGTGTAAAAATGTTGTGATGTGTGTAGTGTAGAATGTATGAACTAGCAAGACAAGGTAAACGTAACTAGAGCAGGGAGGACGAGCACGGGGTTTTCACCTTTTTAGTATAGATACTCTTCTAGGGGATCAGCAAGCAAGTAACTAATATTATCTTTCCAGGTGAACAGCAAGCAAGCACCATTACTTTAAAAAAAAACTTGCAAGAGTTAAAAAGAAAATCACAGATGATCTAAAATTAATTTATTATAAAGCCACACAAAAAAACAAACACTTCATAAAACAAAATTACAAAAAAAAAAAAAAAAAAAACACAAGAGGCGGGGAGTAGTCTCTTTTTAAAAAAGAGCTTTAAAACTTAAAAACGTTCAGAAGAACTTGAAAAAATACAATAGTACATAAAAATAAAAGCCGTACTCTCAAAACTTCAAAAGAAAGTAAAAAAAAGATGAAAAAAAGTGAGCACCAACCTTCGGTTCTTAGCTCGAATGTATATTCAACTAAATTAATACTTTGCCACTTAAAATACGCTTCTCACGACCACTTTACCTTACGTGCGGCAGAATATCACCAATAAAAAAAAAAAAAAAAAAAAAAAATCCACAAGATAAAAAGGGGAGGACGCGAGCCCTATGGTGTCCCCTGCCTCAGCTTGGCCTGTAGCAAGGTGTGAATGTTTACTCTCTTCAAGTTCCTTAGATTCTTTTAAGGAAAAAGATTCTTATGGCTGCTTTCCAGATATGCGCTACGTTATTATAAAACCTTAGGAAAGAAAAAAAAAAACTACTTCAAAAAGAATATATCTTAGATTTTAAAAATCGTAATTTAAAGAAAACTTTCAGCCATAACTACGTTTTTCACTTTTTAAAGCTCATAGCTAGTTTTCTTAAAAGCTGGTGCTCTAGAAAAAAGGACTGGCGGGGTATACTAAAAAATAGTTAACATCCTCGTACTTTTGTAAAAAAAATAAAAATTACTTAAAAAATATTAAAGTATATACACACGTGTACACCTGGTACAGTCCGTGGGTGCTCCTCTCTCTCTCACTGAGAGGGACCTGCTGGTCTCTCCAAAGGCCTCGGCACCTTCATCAGCCCGTCACTACGCTGCACCCTAAAGTAGCGCTAAATCTTGATTGCAATTCCCTGCCAGTCATGGCAGGCTCCCCTTATCTCAGTCACCGTCAACAAGAATTAATGTATTCGGCCTGAATCATTCTCTACCTCTACAGAAGCAGCCTTCATAAGAAAGACGAGCAAAGACTTACTGCTATTTTCAAAATCACGTACTTATTCGAGAAAGACGTTCTCTAATGCATGATTCATCTAGCAGTAAGAATATATTGATTGTATTAGAAGTAACGTTTTGGACCAGTGAAAATGAAAGCCCGTTGACAAGGTAATAGGTTTTAGGTATTTTGAAATCTACATGAGGATACGACATACGTAAGGATTGTGAGATCACATTCCTGATCTTGAAGTTCAGTCCAAATGTGAACACTTAGATGATTTTTTTTTTCTTTTAAATCGTAGACATGTCTAGAATTCAGAACATCAAATGCTTTATCAAGGTCCTGAAAGAATATTGCCAGAAGAGTGCTGAGAAAAAATTTCACCAGCTCTCACCACAGCTCTGTAGCAGCTGTTACTTTTTCCTTTTAAAAAATACTAGGTAAGTTAAATATTGCAATATGCTGTAGGATATACGCATATGTATGCTGTGTGTGTGTGTGTGTGTGTGTGTGTGTGTGTGTGTGTGTGTGTGTGTGTGTGTGTGTGTGTGTGTGTGTGTGTGTGTGTGTAAGAAAGTACATACAATATTCAATTTATATTTGCTAGGAATAATGAACAGTGATGCTCGTACAACTAAAACAATAGACCGAACCGCATCGGTCTTACCCATTCACCTCCTTCCCCAGGGATAATGATCTCCAGGTCAGAGGCACAGAATACCAGGACCGCGTCGCCGGCTGCCGGTCAGCCTCAGGCTCGTCTCTTCCGGTCCTCTATTGGCCTGAGCTGTCCCGACCTGCCACGGGAAAATCGTCCTCGGTCAGTCCCCGTCTGCAGGATTCCTAATCCCACCAAGCACGTCGCGAATCTGCCGTTAATCGAATCCTGAAACTTGCATTTAAATGGCGTTGACTGGTCTCAAAGCGCACTTGAAAATTACCATTCCCTTTCCCACTCGGCGTATCACGAGGCTGTCGTCAATCAGTTCCTTAAACTTGCATTTAAATGGCGTTGACTGGTCTCAAAGCGCACATAAAATTCAGCATTCCTAGTCCCTCCAGGCATAACATGAATCTGTTGTTAACATGAATCTGTTGTTCCTTTTACTTGGATTTAAATGGCGTTGACTAATCTTATAGCGCACATAAAAATCAGCGTTCCTGTTCCCACTATCATGAATCCGTCGTTAATCAGATCCTAAAACTTACATTTAAATGGCATTAACTAATTTCATAGCGAACAGAAATTTCAGCATTCCTGTTCCCACTATCATGAATCCGTCGTTAATCAGATCATTGAACTTACATTTAAATGGCGTTGACTCATCTCATTGCGCACAGAAGATTCATTGCCAACAATTCTCATCAGGAAGCTTCAGACCCTGATCATGAAGGCGAGTCCTCACGTTCTTTCAGTGCATGAGTATCGTTAGGAAACCAGATTTGGTTAGGAAAGGAAATAAAACTAGTTGTAAATGAATATATATTACAATCATCATATATATTACACACACACATATACAACAATAACAACAATAATAATAATAATAATGGTATGATAATAATAATGATATATATAATGATGGTGAAATGATAACAATAATAACTAATTGTTATTAATATTTTTTGTAATGATAATAACTATCAAATTAATCATGGTAATGGTTTAATTAATAATAATATAAAACAATGATAATTACTATTAGTATCATTATTATCGTTGTGATTATTATTTTAATCATTACTACGGATCATCATCATTGTTGTTATTATTTGTATATTAAATAATAATAATAATAATAAATATAATAATAATGATAATACTGATAATGCCTTTGGTAGTGATAATGAAAGTAATAATGATAACAATTTGCAGGAATTTACTCACCCAATTTGCTTGTAAACAGTAGCGCGGTGTCCATCCCTCTAATCCCCTGCACTTGCAAAGTTATCAACAATCCTCTTAACTGAATCCAAGCCTTGGCAAACTACCCATGGCTCTAATATTAATTTTTCTACAATGAATATATAATGAATCTGTTACATATATGTGTGAAATTAATTTAAATTGTCATCATTTTATCTTTATTTCATGATGCAATAATAATCACAGCTACATACTCATGATATAAACCTACACGTGTGTGTATGTTTGTGTCTATGATTATGCATATACACAAAATAATCATGTGTGTATGTTTGTTTTCATGATTTTTAATAGAGGTTATGGCATTTAAAAGACCCGAATAAAATGTCACCAGTATGCGAATAGCAGTATTTTCACCGAAGAAAGTACTGCTCGTACTTATAACTTTACTAACACTGAACAGCCAGGAAAACAGTCTCGCAACAAACGTGCATTTCGTCATCAATCGAACACAATGACAAGACCTCTGATTAGAGTGCAAATAATAATAATAATAATAATAATAATAATAATAATAAAAATACTAACCATTCTGTCGTTCAATTGATCATAAGCTCTTTGTGGCAGTGCAAGTCCGTGCACCTTCAA